GGAGGCTGCCAGGGGACTACATCTCCCATGATGCTTCGGGACGGACGAGCTTTCGGGCTGGTACCCGCCGTGCATTGCGCCGGCGAGCTGGGACTACATCTCCCAGAGCGCACTGCGCGAACAATAGGGACGGTGGTTTACGGGCAAGGGCTACCGAAAAACTACAAATCCCATGTGACATGACGCTTAAAGGAGCCGCGTCCTGCTGCCAGGGGACTACATCTCCCATGATGCTTCGGGACGGACGAGCTTTCGGGCTGGTACCCGCCGTGCATTGCGCCGGCGAGCTGGGACTACATCTCCCAGAGCGCACTGCGCGAACAATAGGGACGGTGGTTTACGGGCAAGGGCTACCGAAAAACTACAAATCCCATGTGACATGACGCTTAAAGGAGCCGCGTCCTCACTCAGCTCCCGGCGCGAAGCGAGACAGCGGCTTGGCAGCCGGCGTGGGTTGTTTCTCACCAGGGGGCCGTTGAGGCGGTTGATCGGACGCCCAATAGGAGCAGGGGTAACGGCACGCGGCGCCACTGCTTTGGGCCGGCCCCGCCTGCGGCTCTATGAACCGGGCAGCTGGAGGCAGCGGCAGCCGGAACCTAGAGCGGCCACCTCGCCCCAGCCCGCGGCCACCGCACCGAGGTAGGAGCGGGCCGGTTCTCCCTGCGCCGGGGAGGCTTGGCCGCTGCGGGAGGTTCGTCGCTCGCCAGTGAGAGCGAAAACGGGGCTGTTGGGCCGGGCAGCCCCGCCCTGGAGAGACCCGGACACGCACGGCCCAGCTTGCCCCGGGCAGCGCCCCGCCCCAGAGTGACCGAGGTATGCACTGCACAGCCCCCCCCCCAGCCTGGGAGAAGCGCCGCTCCCCACAGCACCCTCAATGATTTAACTGAAAAGCAACGGACAGTCCTGCACCAGACTAACAAGCCATGTAGCTGGTGTCATGAGCTTCCCTGAGCACAACCCGCTGCACACACACAGCGCCCAACATGCCCTGCCCACAGGGTGCGATTCACAGCTACACACGCACACCCCCACCCCCAGCCCAGAGAGCGACAGTGGGGTGCCCAGGTGCCCACACTAGGGCTATGCCTAGACTACAGAGGTTAAAACAAATGGCCTTTTTTCAAAAAAAAACTTCACCTGCGTCTAGACTGTTGTTGCGTTCTTTTGAAATTAAATCGAAAGAATGCCCTGGCTTTTCTGACAACCTAATTTTACAAGGAAGAACGCTTTTTTGCCAAAGAGCTCTTTCAAAAAAAGGCATTTTTGAACGTAAACAGGGCTTTTTCAGATTGCCTGGGTGCTCTCTTTCGAAAAAGGGGATCGCTTTTTCGAAAATCTTGTGGTTGTCTAGACGATCTCTTTTGAAAGAGGCTTGTAGTCTAGTCGTACCCTAGGGATGTAATCGGATAATGATTTACATGGTTAATGTTACTGCATTCAATTGAATGCAGGCTAATTTGGCTATGACACATCAGGAAAGAGATCTTGGAGTTATTGTGGATAGTTCTCTGAAAACTTCCACACAGTGTGCAGCAGCGGTCGAAAAGGCAAATAGGATGCTAGGAATTATTAAGAAAGGGATAGAAAATAAGACACAGAATATCATACTGCACCGAATAAAACTATGGTTTGCCCACATCTTGAATACAGTGTACAGATGTGGTCTCCTCACCTCAAAAAGATATTTTGGCCTTGGAAAGGGTTCAGAAAAGGGGCAACTAAAATGATTAGGGGTTTGGAATGGGTCCCATATGAGGAGAGGCTAAAGCGACTGGGACTTTTCAGTTTAGAAAAGAGGAGACTGAGGGGGGATATGATAGAGGTCTATAAAATCATGAGTGGTGTGGAGAGGGCAAATAAAGAAAAGTTATTTATTAGTTCCCATAATAGCAGAACTAGAGGACACCAAATGAAATTAATGGGTAGCAGGTTTAAAACTAATAAAAGAAAGATCTTCTTCACACAGCGTGTAGTCACCCTGTGGAACTCCTTGCCAGAGGAGGCTGTGAAGGCTAGGACTATAATAGAGTTTAAAGAGAAGCTAGATAATTTCACTGTTGGCAGACAGGCTACTGGGCTAGATGGACCTTTGGTCTGACCCAGTACAGCCGTTCTTATGTTCAGGCTCCTACCCCATTCTGCTGCCTTTGTATCAGAGCCTGCAGAGAGACAGCTGACTCCTGGCATGCATTGGTTCCTGGGGAGTTTGGCTGCTGTCCCATATTGCTGTCTCTTATATAGCGGCAGCTCGGCTAGGCTGTAAGCCAGTGCGTGCCCAGAGCTGGTTTAATAGCTGGCTCCCAGCACCTATTGGCTCTTGGGGAGCGGTAGGAAATTTTCAGCAATCATACAGTTACTCAGTTACCCACTTTTTAACATCCCTAGTTCTCAGAAACACATGCAGTGAGAGACTGTGAGATGCCCAGCTCTAACCCCCATCCCACCAGAACGAAACTGAGAGGCATACCTCTTCTTGCTCCCCACAATAGACTGAGAAGCAGAGCCTTCCACACATACCACTCCCTGCCTTCCAGAGAGTCTGTGAGATGCTCAGCTCCTTCACTCTAGGCAGACCACGAGATGCACAGCTCAGTTCCTTCCTACCATGACACATTCATACCATAGCTCTCGCCCTCCTCCCTGAGACCATTTTTCTATACCTGTTCTGATAAGGAGAAACTGTAGTACTGCATACTTCCCCTCTTCCCCCATCCGGGGAGGTGAAGACAGACATTGTAATTGGAAAACCCTAAACTTTTGCTCATTTCCTTTTCTCCAGATAGAGTAAAATTATATAGAATATGGCAAAATTTCCTTCAGATTCATCCAGAAGGGAAAATTAGTTCTTTTCACATGTACATAAATTGGTGTGTAACAACACCAGACACCTCTGAAATTCGGGTTTAAAATCTATTCCCCGAATGAGATATTTGCTTTGCTACCTATCTTGTGTGCTCCTCCCTCCATCTTCTACAAAATTAATGAGACTCAATACCTTTTTATCTCTTCAAAAGTTCGCATTCCTCAATGGGATGATTTTTATTGTTCATTCCCATATGGACAACTTAGGCCATCACATTGCAGACACTTATGCACGTGTTTAATTTTATTTTGAGTAGTCTCGTTGGTTAAACATGCAGACACTGTTGGAGATAGGATGCTGGACTAACTGGACCATATCCAGTATGGTTCTTATATTTTTGACTGAACGTCATCAGTTTCGTATAATTTGGCTGAGATGGTGTAGGATCTTCTTGGCACTACAGAGGGTCTTCTCTGTCCTCCCTAGTCTTTCACTATTTACTTTAAAATAAAACTAGTAATTAAATTCCGCACGATATGCTATAGTTAAGGCATTATAATTGGTTAGGTAAATATTCAAAATTAAGGCAATGCTTTCTTTTTCATATGGCTTAAAATATAGTGTCTCAGTATAGTAAGATTTATAAATTCTGTTGGTAACATTGCAAATAGCTTCTTTCACGCTGACGGCATGAGTTCAAAGATTAAGGCAAAAGCACACAACACACAGGCCCCATTGAAGTCCGTTCTGCTGATATTAATAAAATGGAATATTTACCCAATTTCCACTCATATGACAGCACTTTTAATGAGCAATGACAGTCCGGAAATTTAACTACTAAAACATATCAACAGAAGGCTAATATTGACTACTTTTGTTTTGGCTCCCACCCATGGGACACATGTTGAGCCTTGCATAAACCCAAACTGCACTGTGGGCCACACACGGCCCATTGGCCACATGTTGAGTAGCCCTGTTCTAGCTGTTTGCAAATGGATTCTGTAATTATTTGATCTATTATCTTTCCTGGCACAGACATTAAGCTGACTTGTCTGCAGTTTCCAGGGGCTATGTCTAGACTGCAGGCTTCTTTCGAAAGAAGCTTTTCTGAAAGAGACCTTCTGAAAAAACTTCTTCCAGAAGAGTGTGTCCATACTTCACTGAAAAAGTGTTCTGCTTTTTTGACAGAATGGATGCTATCTCACATGTAAGCTGTGATTACTATGGGCGGAGTGGCCACCAGGGCACCTGTGCTTTTTCCTTTTCCTCTTTCGTTGAAAGAACTCCCTCTTCCCCATCCACACATGTCTTTTTCTGAAAGAATTCTTTCAGAAAAGGTGTTGTTCCTTGTCGAAAGAGGTTTACCAACGTTGGAAAACCCCTTTGTTCTTTTGATTTGTTTTCGAAAGAACGTGATTGTAGTGTGAACATAAATGAGAGTTTTTCAGAAAAATGGCTGTTTTTCTGAGAAAAACCCCTGGGCTACATCTAGACTACATCCCTTTTTCGGAAAAGGGATGTAAATTAGACGTATCGCAATTGCTAATGAAGCGGGAATTTAAATCTCCCGCGCTTCATTAGTATAAAAATGGCTGCCGCTTTTTTTCGGCACGGAGCTTTGCCGGAGAAAAGCACCAGTCTAGACTCTGATCTTTTGAAAAATAAGGCCTTTTCCGAAAAATCCTTATCCCTTATTTCAAGCTCGTGGCCTGTTTTTTTGCGGCCCCTGAGTGGGAGCCAAAACAAAAAAGTAGTCAATATAATGGTCTTCTGTGGATATGCGTTTTAGTAGTTAAATTCCTGGACTGTCATTGCTCGTTAAAAGTGCTGTCATATGGGTGGAAATTGGATAAATATTGCATTTTATTAACATAAGCAGAACTGACTTCAATGAGGCCTGTTTGTTGTATAGACTTGCCTTAATCAATGTATTAATGCCCATCAGTGTGAAAGAAGCTATTTGCATGTATATGCAACCACACTTAACTTGTGGCTCTCAGCATGTGCTGTGAGTATCATTGTGGGCCCTGGGGCTTTCAAAATTGAGTAGTCCTAATCTAGACCATCTCTGATAGTCCTGCACTATAAAAGAATTAAAATTAAGTAGGCACTTGTTTCCTCATAATAGAGACCACGCAATTTAGTAAGTAAGGGTGACAGAACTGAGCCTTACATGAATGTTCTCTACTGTAGCAACAGTGTCATTCATTTACAGCCATAGATCCTGCTTCAGGACAGCATTTAAGCACATGCTTAACTTTAAGGGTGTGCGTAAAGTCCAATGTCAATGGAACTTGAACCCATGCATAAATACTGTCTCAGTCTTCTCCTTTCCAAACTAAGTAAGCATTCTTTCAGTCTTCTGTCATAGCTCATGTACTCTAGATCTTTAATCATTCTTGTTGCTCTTCTCTGGACTTTCTCCAATTTCTCATGATTTTTCTTGAAATGTAGTGCCCAGAACTGGACACAATACTCCAATTGCGGCCTAATCAGTGCAGAGTAGAGTGGAAGAATGGCTTCTTGTGTCTTGCTCACTACACTCCTGTTAATGCATCCCAGAATCATGTTTGCGCTTTTTTTTTTTTTTTTTTGCAACAGCATCACACTGTTGACTCATATTTAGCTTCTGGTCCACTATGACTCCTAGATTCCTTTCTGCAGCACTTCTTCCTAGACAGTCACTTCCCATTCTGTATGTGTGAGACTGATTGCTCCTTCCTAAATGAAGCACTTTGCATTTGTCCTTATTAAATGTCATCCTATTTACCTCAGCCCATTTCTCCAGTTTGTCCAGATCATTTTGAATTATGACCCTATCTTCCAAAGTAGTTGTATCCCCTCCCAACTTCGTATCATCTGCAAACTTAATAAGCGTACTGTCTATGCCAATATCTAAATTGTTGATGAAGATATTGAACAGAACTAGTCCCAAAACAGACCCCTGCTGACCCCTACTTGTTATGCCCTTCCATCAGGACTGTGAACCATTAATAACTACTATCTGAGAATGGTTGTCCAGCCAATTATGCACCAATTTATAGATCAGAATTTCATGCAAGACAGTATCAATGCTTTACTGAAGTCTAGGTATACCACGTCCACCACTTCTCCCTTATTCATATGACCTGTCATCCTATCAAAGAAAGCTATCAGATTGGTTTGACATGATTTGTTCTTTACAAATCCACACTTGCTGTCACCGTTTTATCTTCCAGGTGTTTGAAGATGAATTCCTTAATTACTTGCTCCATTATCTTTCCCGGCACAGAAGTTAAAGTGACTGGTCTGTAGTTTCCTGGGTTGTTCTTATTTCCCTTTTTATAGATGGGCACTATATTTGCCCTTTTCCAGTCTTCTGGAACCCACATCCCCCCAAGATACCTATGCCCCTGGCGTGGGAGGTGACTTCCCTTGCTCCCCTGCCCCTAGGCCAATTAGGGCCTGAGAGCAGGGGAGCGTGCAAAGCCTCTTCCGCCCTTCCTTTCTCCCCTGCGAGCAGCACGCGGCACTTAAAAGGGCTACGTGCTTCCCTGGCCCCCGGTCCTGAAGCCTCATCCCACCCTGCCGGGAGCACACGGCACTATGAAGTGCTGCATGCTTCTCGCAGGGTGGGGGCAGAGCAGAGAAGGCTTCGCGCGTCCCCCTGTCCTCAGGCCCTAATTGGCCTAGGGGTGGAGGAGCAGCAGGGCCTCTTGCAGGCTGGATCCATCCGCTTGGTAGGCTGGATCTGACCCGCGGAGGCCCTTTTGCTCACCCCTGCCTTAGAATCATTAACTCTATGATTTCATGATCGCTTTCACACAAGCTGCCTTCCATTTTCAAATTCTCAACCAGTTCCTTTCTATTTGTTAAAATCAAATCTAGAACAGCTTCACCCCAGTAGCTTTTTTAACCTTCTGAAACAAAAAGTTGTCTTCAATGCAGTCCAAAAACGTATTGGATAGTCTGTGCCACACTGTGTTAGTCACATAAATCTTTAATGCCCATGGCACATAAATATCCTGTACCGTTCTCGCTTTCAGGTTACAATGTAAATAAGAAATGGGCAGCATTATCTCATGCAAATTGTAACCAAGCTTGTATGAGCGATTGGCTAAACAAGAAGTAGGACTGAGTGGACTTGTAGGTTCTAAGTTTTACATTGTTTTATTTTTGAATGCAGTTAATTTTTGGACATAATTCTACATTTGTAAGTTCAATTATCATGATAGAGATTGCACTACAGAACTTGTATTAGATTAATTAAAAATACTCTTATTTGTTTTTTACTCTGCATATATTTGTCATAAAAGAAATATAGAGTTGTACATGTCATGTTTTGTTTTGTAATTGAAATCAAAATATTTGAAAATATAGAAAGCATTCAAACATATTTTAATAAATGGTATTCTATTATTGTTTAATAGTGCAATTTATCGCACAATTAATGTTTAAATTACTTGATAGCCCTACTATCTGTTGATCAAAGGAGAACACATACTTTTATTAAGTACTTCATTTGAGACTTTTTAAAAATGGAATTTGGTCTTGTGATCCTGTATTGCATGTTTGACAGTTAATTTGTATTATCTTTCAGCATAAGTGTATTCAAAATGCAAAGAGCATATTGTAGAAGGCTTTGGATTGTTCCTGGTTGCATACAGTAATACAATGAAGGCAATTGAGTTTAATTGCCTATGGATACTGATTTCACTGCTTTGCTGCCAGTTATTGAACACTGCGGAACATGAAGATGTAGTAAAACATGCAATAAAGCTGCATCGTGGGAAAGGTGCTGCTGTCACTCACAGAAAACAGTGGGTCTTAGAAAACTGTAGAAAGCTATCTGGACTCCTTCGACAAAAGAACGTGGTTCTCAACAAACTAAAAAATGCAATAAGATCCGTGGAGAAAGACTTGGTGTTGTCAGATGAAGAGAAGCTTTTTCAGGTGCACACATTTGAGATTTTTCAAAAGGAGCTGAATGAAAGTGAAAATTCAGTCTTTCAAGCAATCCATGGACTCCAGAGAGCTCTTCAGGGTGATTACAAAGATGTTGTAAACATGAAAGAAAGTAGTAGACAGAGATTGGAGGCTTTGAGAGAAGCTGCAATAAAGGTTAGTTCTTTCCAATTTTAATAATGTATAATTCAGTGTAATATGGTAAAGGTTTCGTAGGTAGGACCCTACCAATTTCACGGCTGTGAAAAACATGTCATAGACCAGGGGGTCAGCAACTTATAGCTCATGAGCCAAATATGGCTCTTTTGAAGCTCAAGCCGAGTTCCCCCTTGCTTCCCCCAAATCAGGGAGCCTGCACTGGCCCTACAGCAGACATGGGCAAAATAATCTGACCATGGACACAGCAGGGAGCCCCCAGGCAGACTCCCCTGCATGCCCTGTTCCTGAACGCGTTCAGAAAAGAGGCTGATCCAGGAGAGGTAGGTTGAGTGGTGTTTCATGGCTGCTCCTGCCCCCCAGCACAATTCCATTGGCTGGTTTCTGACCAATGGAAGCTGCCTATTTCAAGAACAGGAAGGGCGTGAGGCATCAATCCCCCCTCCCCTCAGGCTCTTAGTCATAGAGCACATGACCCTGCAGCCTGTGCGGGGTTGGGAGGCAGGGCAGGCTCCTGAGAAACATGCTGGGCTGGAATTTCACTGCCAGCCAGAGCCCGCCTCTTGTACACCAGCCCTTTCCTTTCCCCAGCCCTCAGCCTCCCAACCCCACATAACCCAAACTCTCTGTCCCCCCTCCGGAGCCCATACCCCCTGCCAAACCCCGCACCTCAGTCCTCTGCCTCGGATCACATTCCCCTCCTACTCTAGGTCACAATCAAAACCCCTGCACCCTCTCCTGTACCCCAGTCTCTTGCCCTAGGTCACAGCCCCCTCCTGCCCTAGGTCACAATCCAAACTCCTAAACTGTAATCCCTGTCCTAGGTCACAATCAAAACCCCTGCACCCCAGTCATGTGCCTCAGGTCACAACCGCCTCCTTCACCCAATCTCAGTGGCCCCAACCCAAAAAAGGTTCCCCATCCCTGTAGGGATGTAATAGTGTAGTTCAATGGTCCCCAACCTCATGGGGCTGCCGGGGGCGGGGCCACGCATGCACTGCACGCCCTGGTTGGGGGCCATGCATGTGCCGAGCGCCCAGGGCCTGTGGTGCAAGAATGGCTTGGGCTGGCACCCTGGTCACTAGGTGGGCACACATAAATGCCCCGGCAGGTGCCATGGCACCCGCGGGCACTGAGTTGGGGACAACTGGGTAGTCAATTAAAAACTGTAATCCCTGTCCTAGGTCACAATCAAAACCCCTGCACCCCAGTCATGTGCCTCAGGTCACAACCGCCTCCTTCACCCAATCTCAGTGGCCCCAACCCAAAAAAGGTTCCCCATCCCTGTAGGGATGTAATAGTGTAGTTCAATGGTCCCCAACCTCATGGGGCTGCCGGGGGCGGGGCCACGCATGCACTGCACGCCCTGGTTGGGGGCCATGCATGTGCCGAGCGCCCAGGGCCTGTGGTGCAAGAATGGCTTGGGCTGGCACCCTGGTCACTAGGTGGGCACACATAAATGCCCCGGCAGGTGCCATGGCACCCGCGGGCACTGAGTTGGGGACAACTGGGTAGTCAATTAACCGATAAGCAACAGCTTATAGGTTAATGCTGTAAACTACATGCATCCCCCACCCACTTGCCAGTAAATTTTTTAGCAGCAGGCCAGCAGTCCCACTCGGTCCTGGCTTGAAACTGGTCTGGGACCTTCCTCTGCTGTGGCTCTGCATTTAAAGCAGGGGTGGGCAAAATGGCCTCCGAGGGCTCGATCCAATTAGGGCCTGCGAGCGGGAGAGCACTCGAAGCCTCCTCCTGCCAGGAGCATGCGGCACTTTGAAGCGCTGCTTGCAGGGCGGGGGCAGAGCAGAGAAGGCTTTGCATGCTCCACTGCCCCCAGGCCTTAATTGGCCTTGGGGCAGGGAAGCGAGAGAAATCTCTTCTCACACCAGGGGCATGGGCACCTTGGGGGAACGTGGGGTGAAATATCTTGGCCATGCCCCTTCCGCTTGATGCCCCACCCTTCCTATGTGGCCCAGGGCCACTTCAAAAATTTCCGAAGTGGCCCCCAGCAAAAAATTATTGTCCACCCCTTATTTAAAGTGTACTAAGAGCCGGGTGGGCAGGCAGCCCAGCTCAGTTCCGGCTTGCACTGGGTCTAGGAGCTCTGACCCCCCCCAGACAAGGGCCACTGCCACCCTGTGCTGCCTCCTTTTTATCAGAGGTAGCAGCACAGGGCGAAAGGCAGCTGGTCCGCGAGGGGAGCTGGTTTTTAAACTGGCTCCCCTTGCAACCAGCTCCAGACTGGCACCCTGCACTGCTGCCTCTGATACAGAGCCAGCAGAGCAGAGTGGAGTGGTAGGGGGCTCCTCAGGAGTGAGGTTGGAGCACACTGGCTGCCACCTCTGCCCCCAGGGACTATAGAATAGTTGAGTAATCAAGAAGAATTCATGAGGTTACTCAATTATTCAATTAACCAATATTTAACATTCCTATTCCCCGCCCATAAATAAAGACAATGTTGAAACCTTTTGTGTTGGACATAATATTTTACTCTATTTAAAAATGAAGCCTGGCCAACAAGCCCCCAATTTGGGGCCTTGCCCCCACCTGGCCGCAGTGTCATAACATTCCTGAACTCTCCCCCACACACAAACCCTGAGCCCATCATACACCCAACCCCCCTGCTCTGAGTCCCTTAGACTCTCCAACCCAAATTTCTGTGCCCTCCACATCCCAGCCCCCTACCATAAGATTGATAGAAGACAGCCTGAATGTGTGCATGAAGCTGGATTTGAGCAGTTACAATGTAAACGTCAAAGAAATGCGTGAAAATACTCAGCAGCAGAAGTCCCATTAAATAAAGTCTGTGAGTACAATGTTTCATTTATGCTATTATTAATCATTATGTCAATTATCATTAATACTAAGTTGTATATTTTCAGTTACACAAATGTGCATTCTTACACGTTTCTTTGTTGACCATTTGTTCTCAATTTTGATGTAGTTTGGCTCTTTGGTTTGAAAAGGTTGCCGATCCCTGTCATAGACCATGAAATCTGCCCTGCCCCCTAAAATCATAGCTCACCATGCTATTAGGAGCCTGGGGCTCCCAGCTGCTAGTCTGGCCAGGCTGGGGAGAGACAGGATTTGTCCTTCCTCTACATGGCCCCTCTTGTTGGGGACATCAGACTCGCCTTGAGAAGCACTTCAGAAATGAGGTAGGTACATCCTCACTTCTGCACTGGAGAAACCATAGAGCAGAGCCCCCAGCTTCTGTCTCCCATTTTCCCCAGGGTTCCTACTACCATTTGGGCCATGGAGCTTGGGGCTTCCTTCCCTTAGTAGTTCTAGCTGGGGCTAAGGCTTAGGCTTCTGCTTCCAGTGGCTTCAATTGGGGCAGTCTGGGCTCCGCTACACCTGTGCTTCTGTGCAACACAGGGTTTCATTCCCCAGCAGTTCCAGCTGGGGTTGGGTGCTTCTGCTCCCAGCATCTGGGACAGCCCAGGTTCTGTGCTTCTGCCCACCCCTGAAGTTCCGGAAGCGCTGGAATGTGATTATTCAAATGAAGCGTGGGATATTTAAATTTCTGCTTCATTTGCACTTTCAATGTGTCCAATTTACATCCCTCTGCCGACAGAGGGGTGTAGTTTAGACACGGCCTTTGCCTTGCGGAACTGTTAGCTGCTTATGCGATCTGTCCAGGCAAGACACTGCTTGATTCAAGTCTTGCTTAATCTTTTAAAATTAGACTGCAAGTTTATTTTGTTTCTTATGTAAACAACTTTGCTTTCTAAACAGCCTGTCAAATGTTTTTTGGCACAGCATGTGTTCGTAGATTACTCTTTATTGAGCACATATTGCCCATGCTTTGAAGTCAATGTTCCTCCTTGCTGAACTTTAGACAAATGGGTGTAGATAAATGGGAACAGTGTAATAGCTAAAAACATTTAATTTTTATGCAATTTTACACATCAAATGAGTTAGTTTTTAGTTATAACACATATTATTGCTCTGGGATTAATTAAGCGCATAGACAATAGTCACAGGTAAACTAGTTAACAGGGCACATGCCATGTAATTACAGTGTGACATTATCTTCCTTTGTTCTTTTCTAACAAGTGGATACAAAAACATTAGTAGCTAGTAGGTCCACAGATAAGTGACTACAATAATCTTAAAAGTCTCAGGCTATGTCTAGACTACAGAGTTTTTCTGGGATACCAAAGGTATTCTGGAAAAATTCTGCCGTGTCCAGTGAACGCGTCTGCTCTTCCAACATTTTGGGCAGAAGAGCAAATGCATTCTTTCAGAAGCCCTGTGTTCCTCATTTTAAGAGGATTAAGGGCTCTTCTGAAAGAGGTTTTTCTGAAATTTGGCCCAGTGTAGATGGGCCGAATTTCGGAAAAGCCTCTTCCAAAAAAAAATTGGAAAAAGGGTACGCAAATTGTGCAAAATTTTTGAAAGTCTTTTTCCAAAAAAAGCAGCAGTCTAGACGTAGCCTCTGTTAGTCTGTACCTAAAAATACTTTAAGGTGCTACAGGACCATTGTTGTTTTTAGAGACTAACCAAAAATATATAGATAGCATCATGAGCTTCTGTGGGCACAACCCACTTCTTCTTCTTTGTCATCTGAAGAAGTGGGTTGTTCCCCTGAAAGCTCATGATACTACCTATATATAATTTTGGTTGGTCTCTAAGGCTAGGTCTATACTGCAAATTGCATATCATTTTCCGATTTACTTTCAAAAGAGGCTTTTCAGAAATTTTGTGTGTCTACACAGTGCCAAATTTCAGAAAAAAAGTGTTCTTTCAATGCATCTCTTATTCTTCGTAGAATGAGGTTTACAGAGGTATCCTGGAAAAGCAATGCAGTCTAGATGTAGCCTAAGGTTCTATAGGACAAGTGTTCCCTTTAAGGTGCACGCCTGTGTGGCTGTGCACAAAAAATTCTAACCCTGCCCACCACCTTCACAGAGCCATGCAGCAGCACTTACCTTCCAGCTGGACCTGGTTGCTCTCCTGGCAGGGCCGTGTGGCAGGTGGGAACAGGTCCACTTGAG